ATCCTCCGTCACCAGGACACCCGCCTCATTCAGCAGCGGCCCCACATTGTCCCTAGCCTTCCTTTTGCTGCTGATGTAGTTGAAGAAGCCCTTCTTGTTGTTTTTGACATCCCTTGCCAGTTTCAATTCCAGGTGGGCCTTGGCCTTCCTCGTCGCATCCCTGCATGCTCTGACCACGTTCCTGTACTCTTCCCAAGTGGCCTGCCCCTCTTTCCACATTCCATTAAAACTTAGCATCAGAATTGACAAAAGGCCTTCCAAGATATGGCACATACTGTCTCAGTCCGCTGGTGTAGTCGAGCTGGAATTTCAGTTGATGTGTCTAAGCAGTGTTGATAATATTACATATACATGTAAATACATTCTTAATAAATTCTAGTGAAAATTTACAGAACTTTAGAATCATTTAGGAAATCATTTGTGTTTTAGGCCATGAGAAATCACACCAGTTGGCCTAAAGCCTGCTACCTAAATTTCATGTTTGAAGCTGGAACCTAAATATAAGCTAAAAAAAGTTTAAAGAATATTTCCTTGATTTTTTTGTGTTCTTTGTGAACCCTGTAACCCCATTAGTTCTTTTGGATTAAATGTTTCTGGTAATCATAATACCATACAGATATTCAACCTAAACAACTGGGACAAAAAAAAAGGGAGAAGTCACTAAAGAACTCACTTATGCCATGTCTAACCAATGATTTTGGGTCAGGTCATCAGCTAGATCATCATAAAGTTGTTTTGCTGATCTTTAAGAAGCTATGCCAGTTCATACATTCCAAGGACTATTCAGTATATTATGAAGAGTTTTTACTCCATCCATCTTTGATAAGCACTAGCTACATAAGAACTGATCTGTAAGTCATATTTCAAGCCTATAGTCATTTAATTTACTTTTTCTCCACCTCTCATCCCCCCTTTAACTTTTTCCTTTAGCACTCCAAAGATCCCTGGATACACTGGCAAGGTTCATTGGTCAGCAACCCACCCGGCAAATTCTAATCTTCCATCAACAACCCCATCAATAATTGCATGAATGCATGGGTAGGTATGAGGTGTATTTCTCAACTTTTAAGAAAGATTACAGGGAGAATCCTAAAAGCATTTATTTAGTTAAAGAACAATTAAATGTTAAACATGACATTCCATTAGCTTAAAAGATACATAACAGTTGGGGTTAGATTGCCACCACATTGCTGTGACGCTAATCTGAAATCCATCTGAGGTTTTAGAATTCTTCTGGAACATCATAAGGTATGTACTGGGAAGTACCTTGACACTGAGGTAAATCATGATTTCTGAATGTGGATTATTTCTACACTGAGAAATTTTTTCTTTGGCTACGGTTACGAAGTCATGGCTTGAGTGTCTATTTTTTTTTTTTTGATTGACTGATCTCTGTGTGTTTTGAAAGAGACCCATGAATGCCAAACTTAAAAATTCCCAGAAGAAAACTGTGTGGTGTTGTGTTTCCGAAGTGGTGTTGGCAGACTTGTGAAATGGGTATTTGCTATACAAAAATAGTTGTTAAAAATGGGTGGGTTTACTCAGAAGGCAGTGAAAGGCAAAATCATACCATGTCCCATGCCAGTGCAGCCCGGGACCCTGTGACTATGAAATCATCATAGCCCCACATCACTATTGTGGCTGGCTCATGAAGTGATTTAGCATTTTTTATTCTATCTTTCTCTTCCATACAAGTCTTGTTATAATTATGGGCCAGTAGAAGTATTTAGGTGTCTAACTCTTGGTTTCAAGAGAGGTGGACACCTCAGAACAGCTGAAAAACCCTTTTTCTTTTGTTAGCACAAAGAGCTTCTGACATTGGCAAAGAACCAACCTAGCCTTTCTCCTAGTAGCTTCAGAGTAGTTTAATAACTGTTTCCCCTCTCTTCTTTATGATTTTGTGCTGTAGATGCTGGTTTCTTGTTATGCATAATGACCTAGGGAGTGATGACACTATCCCAAGTTTCCACATTTACCTGATAAATTTATTTTCCATCAAACTGTTTAATTTGCCTTAGAATCCTGTTCACAACACATCACACCGCACTTCTCTTTTTCAGCACTGCCGGTGACAAGTATCCAGAAAAGGCTTGAGGATCCTTAGGGAGCCGCCTGACTTTTAAAGAATTCACCTTGTCAAGTGTTTCGTCATTGTGGAAAATGCACTGACTTCCATTTCTGCTCTTCTTCATCTCTGCTCTGTTTCTCTTGTGGTTATACTTAGAAAATAGGCAGTCACCTGTAGTGGCAGTTTGCTGTTGACAGGGAATGAAAATGCGCAACAAAGTCCGGAGCCTGTATGGGCTAATAAAGCTGAACTGGGAGCAGCCTGATGCAAGACTAACTTGCTGGTAAATGTCACAGACAAATGAAAAGGCAAATGCAGCTTAGCAAAGATCATTGACAGACTTCAGACAGATGCCCGATTTCAAGAGCAAAAAGACAGGCACCACTGTGATCTAAGAAAGGAAAACACATCTGTTACTTCCTTTTACTTTCTACAGGTGTTACCGAGGGTGTCATTCATAGTGCAAGAATTTTCTTATTTTTTAGTGGATAGGAAGAACAGGGTTTTCATTCTGTGCTAATGGAGTCTTTCCAGAAGCAGGACAGAATCCCCTGACTTTTTTGAAGAAGGGTGTGTAGGAAACAGATAGAAAGCATAATCATACCCAGACTTTGTAGATGAGGTTTTACTACCTGAGGCTAGTACCACTGCTTGCAAAATTGTAACAGTCCTATTTTACTTTCTCCGGAGATACTTGTGGAGTAAGATAGTGTTCACTGACTTAAGATGGAGGAACTTAGCCCTTTGTGAAACTGCTATGTGAAACTGTTAGGGATGCTGGGAATCTCCCCCCCAGAGTGAGTTAGTGATGCCCATAAAAGAAAAAATGCTTAACATTTGATTCCTTACCTGTGTAAATAAATTATAGAAGTCCTGCTGATTTCAGTGGTCACAGGTCAAGCTGGACTGTAGTGGGGAGGTGAAAAGAGGTTATTCCTGGAATTTGGGGTCGGACTGCACCGATTCACCTCCACATGCTTTTCATGTAGGACATGATCTCATTCTTACAGTTTTTAAAATGATGACCCCTTTTTTTCTCTCTTTGATCATTCTCAAGCCATGACTGTAATAATTTCTCAGAAAGTAGCAAGTGATTGCATGTGGTGGATGTTTTTATAGCTGCTTTATTTGACATGTCTACAATATACGATCAGTCTCCTGAAGACAGTTACGGGTATCAGAGGGACTCTCTTGTCTACTGCTAACATGGTCTAATAAATGTTCCTGTCAAAAGTATCAGCCGTATCAGATAGACCAGGCAGCATGCAACCACTTCTGCACTGTATTTCTATTGCATGGAGCTTCTACAGTATGTGGGGCAAAATCCTTTATAATAATTTTAAGCATTCTAAACTCAACAGGATTGTATAGGTTATAGAACAGATGAAATATGGTTTCTTTATCTTTGAATATGAATAGTATTTTTTATCTGTCAAGCTTTATTGATGTATTTTTATTGTATTTTTATTTCCAGGTAATCCCAAGGTGAAGTCAGAAAATTAGGTTTCAATGTCCTTTAGTGTAATTAAATTCCAGCAGCATTGTTTAGCTTTTGCATAGGAAGAAGTGTTTTGTTGTTTTGTGGTTTATGTTTTGTGTTTAAATGAACTGTCCACCACTAGCCGGAAAAGACAAATCCCTTTGCACCACGAGCTGTATGGAAATGTGTTTGCTTTGAATGTAAGATAGTGTTGGATTTAGTTTGATTTTAGAGAGAAGGGTTGCACCGTTTCAGCAAGTTGCTTTGGAGATTTCAAAAGGGATCTTTAGCTCAAAAGAAAATATTTTTTCTTTGGAGAGTGAGTGAACAAAAGACTTTGTGGTCAGTTCTGTGTCAGCCCTGCTTTGATTAGGTATTTTGCAGCAGAGGGGCTACACCAGCTTAGGTTGTAGGTATTTGATTATTTATAGTGACTCTTCCTGTAAAAGGTTAGCAGAATATCAGAATAAATTTCTAGCATAAATTGTTCCCTCCCAGACAGTCCCCAGCATATTTTCTAGTCCCCATCCCAGTATTCTGTACCACAAGAACTGGGTGTCGAAAGCAGGCATGTCATGGTGCCAACAAATTGTTTTTTCTAGGCTTGAAAGCCAAACCTTTAGCATCACCTGAGTTAGCCCTCCAGGCACCACAGGGGCTTATGGGCTCGAAAGTATGCAGCATGCTCATGGCAGTTCTGCCCAGTGTGCAGGTTAGTTGTGAAACAATTGTGTGTGTCCAAGAAAGGCTGGAAAGAGGCAAAAGGCAGGATGTACTTTTCTTACAGCTGCTGTAGGTATTTGTCTTTCAATACATTACATATATCCAGAAAGTAAGACTTAAAATTCTTAGGAAGATTTGCCACCATTGTTTTGGGGGCGGGAGGGCTGATTTTAATACTCTGGAATATTGCAAATTATCAGTATTCTCTGAGGTCAATGGGCATAACTGTTTATGAAGAATGCAGTGAGAGGGAGGAAGAAGCACTGTTTATCAATACGAGAAGCCATTTTAAAAGTCTGTTTTTCACTGTCTTTTTGTGACTGCAGATACGTAACAAAACGCGGAGGCTCGTCTCAGTATAATCACCAGGGACCTTTTTCTCAAATGGTGACTCCGGTTAGTCCTCAGAATTCTTTCGACAAGAGAGATCGAAAAACTATTACAGTTTAGAAAGTGTCAGTCCTTTTTACCTACATGACTGAGAGCCTCGGTGTCTGACAGTGAGGAGGAAGGAAATGTGTGAAGATGTGCGGATACTTCAAATACGGAACAAAAATAAAATAACATAAAGTGGGTGTTTGTGGTAGTCCTTATTACATTATTCTCATACTTACAGCCTACTAGCGTTGACAGTTAAGACCATATTATAAACAAGAGGAGTTGTAAGTCAAAGGCTTGAAACTTGCTCTCTGTACTGGATTGCCTTGTTAACCAAGGTAGAAAATGATGCCGTAGCTGTTCCATCCATTGACATAAACATTTTGTGTATACATACACATGCAGACACACATATGTAAATGTATCATTAACTAAGAAATCATTACAGAGCAGCAGCCCTTCTCACCAGCTGTCCTAAGCGTGCCTCGCAAAGATGGTGAAGTGTCACAGAGCAAGATTTTAATCTTTGCCCGCACTGACTCTTTCTGTAGTGGTGAATAAAAAGAACCAGGTTATGTTCTCTGGTCTGGAGACTGTGTAGCTTGCATCCATGCTTAACTTCTCTTATGCTTAAACTGAAAACAGTGAAGTATCGAAGATGGGGGGCCCGTACTTAAGCCTTTGTCTCTGCACTGTTTTATTTTCTGGTGTTGGTGTAGATATCACAAGGAAGTCGCATCCCTGAGAAAGAGAAGACCAAATGCGAGTTTGTAGCCCAGGGAGTTCTGCCGTGCTCCGGGGGCCAAAACAGTCCAAATAGTTTATTCTAATTTGGACAGCCTGGCAGCTCGCTCAGAAGTTTCTGTCCTGAGGTGTCTGGTGAGTTGTACTACCCAAACCATCTATACTGCTGCTCTGTTACCCCTCCTGCTTGCTTTTCTTCAGTAGGCTTTTGAGGTACACGTGTGTGTAACGCAAGTATAAGAAATAGCTTTCACATATCCAGTTAAGGGCTTTCTGAGACGGATTATAAAATGTACCAATGGCAAAAGACCTTTTCAACAGCAAACTGAAGACTCATTGGACATACTGAAAGGTAGGGAATGTAAATGCCCCTAGATGCCCCATCCCTGGAAATATTCAAGGTCAATTTGGATGGGGCTCAGAGCAGCCTGGGCTAGTTGAGGATGTCCCTGCTCATTGCAGGAGGGTTGGACTAGGTGGCCTTTAAAGGCCCCTTCCAACCGAAACAATCCTATGAGTCTATGATTCTAAACCACAGAGCCAGAAGACAGCAAATCCACAGGAAGAACTAACATCCCTCAACAAAGAGGTTACATCCTCAGCAACGATAATGGGAACTGAGCATCCAAATCCCTGATGCCGCTGGGCAAATCTCAGTCACACAGGATATACAAGCCCCTAGGGAATGTGAGATGACAGATACGCAAGAAAAGCGCTGATACAAAGATACACCATTTCTCCTAATAAGACTGTAGAAGATTGTTAATCCTAAAGTGGAGCAGACATATTTCAACTTCTTGAAATATCTGACCTAACACAAAGACTGTATCACTTTTAGCTCACTGTATTTTCATCATGCACAACACACTGATACCTGAATTTTTAAAAGAAATGCTCTCATCTAGTCAATTTCTCTGAATGCAATAAGTTAGATCTTACCTGTACACATGTAAAATGAAAGGCTATGTACAGGTACAGGAAGGATGCAACCTGCCTTTGCCTTTGTACTTGTCTATTCTGGAGCTGCACATGTATACAAATCAGTGAATATTTTAGATGAAAGCATAGTCTCTTTTGCGAATTTGACTTATTATGTCCCATTGAATTATTATAGTCCATATTAAAAATGTTTGCAAATTTTTTACAAGTTACAAAGACTATGTTTTCATATGCTTGAGAAGGATTCCAATTAAATCTTTCAGAGCCCAGACTCTGGTGATCTGACTTTGGGTAAGAACATAGGAACTGTATACGTGCAATGCAATGCAGTGTCACAGGCTATATCTTGAACAGAAACTGAAATTCCGTTTGAACTAGCAGATGAAAACTGATTACATTTTAAACCAGCAATGGGCTGAGAACACTGACTGCAAAGACAAAAACCTAAGGAGATGTGAGCTATATTTAAAATGGAGCAGGTTCTCAGCTGGATAAATCAGCATAGTCTTCTCTGACTTTACAAATTGATTAAGAGCCAGAATCTCTATATCTAATGAGTGAAAGCTGTGTGCTAGAAGTCCTCTGGATAAATTGAAATTGTAAAAAAATTGTAAGGATTATTTACACTTCTCCATACTGCTAGATCAAGCTGAGGAAATTTATAAAAAAAATAAACAGTGCGGAGGAAAGGTAATTTTAAAACTCAGTTTCTAGTTACATTCAGTTTCTCTGAAAACTTGAAAAAAGAGGAACAAGCTCTTAGGCTTAAAGAGTAATTGGAAGGAAAGTGCTTGTATCGAAACTATGAAGTCCCTCAGTTCACTTAAAATAAACTAATTAAAACAACAAAAACCATGTTTACAAATTTATTCTGATTAAGAAGTTGTTATGATTTAAACAAATCTATATTTTTATCCTGTAAATTATAAGATAGTCTTCCTTGAAACCTCAAGGAGGGAAAATTTTCATGTATGGAAACAGAAAAACTTACAAAAATAATAATTAAATAATAGGTATGTGACACATTCAATGCAAGACCTATTCCTGTTTTTACTGGCTGCAGTAGCGTTGCTCTTGGTAATAAAGATGGAAGGGGACTCTTGCCTGCACGTCGTTCCTATGAACAGCACCACTTGATTTAGTCTGAACCCTTCTAGATTCATGCGATTCATAGTATAGAGCAGGTTATTGCTATTTTCAAATTTTCCATCTCTTCCACATTATCCGAAAGAGAAACAAAAAGCCACCTAGAATATCCTTTCACTTGATACTGTGGCATATGATATAAAGTATATGATATAAAGCATATGAAAAAGGTTGCTATTAAAGAATCTCAGTTTTGCCTCCAGTTGGAAACTGGTGAACAAATGCTTTAGTTTGTGGGACAACTTCTGCTTTCCATCTGTTAAACGCCTTGCTGAATCATACATGTTGTTAATCTATACAGAGTGTTCATAAAGCAGTCAAATTTCAAGTCACTAAAGATCATTTTTGGATCTGTTCCTTTGAGTTATGGCATCGACACCTAGATGAACAGGAACAGAGTTAGCTTCCGGTGTATAGTAAAACCACTGAAAAACAATGCTGCCATCAGAGAGATGGCTTCCTGGGTAGAATTTAGTTGGTTTTCCTTCTACAGTCTTCTAAAGGCTTCTGAAAGTATAGTCTTCTAAAGCAGAGCATTTACACCACGCAAAAAGTCACTATATGTGCAGCTTGTTTCGCAGAATGTCTGTTTATAAGCAGTAGGCTTTGGAAGTTAAGTGTTTTGAAGCCATTTTGTGTAAAGTAGCTGTTAGCACAGTGGCCATGGTTTTAATATCAATTCCATGCACACAGTAAATAAACATGTCTTAAACTATTCTATTTCTTTCTAAATAATACCTGTATATTTTTTGTATGCATAGCTACTTCAAATACATTTTTGCATTATGTTGAATGCATTCATCATAAAGAAACATTTTGATGTGGAAAAATACGCTACCATAGAACAATTATCGTAACTCTAGCTAAAGTTCACGGTTTTTTAGACTAGATTCTTTTCCCTCTTGCTCCTTTCAGAAATACTCATTTTAAAAAATTGGTTTTCTTTGGTTTGTTTGTTATTTTATTCCTAATGCTTCTCATCTGCCATCTAGTAAAGGTCATAGAAATATTAATGTACTTCCAAAGCAAGAGGACCAAAAAGCTTTGCTTTCAACATAGCTTAGAGTATGGGGATGCAAATTGCGAAAAATCAGTGGCCTGTATCTACTCACAGAATTATTTAGTAATGAATGTACCAAGTGAAAGAGAAATGTCTGTTGGGTAAACAATTCACATAAACAACTTCATGGTGGGAAAATAATGATATAAGAGGCTGTGGTGATCCTAGCCTGAAATCTTGAAAATGACTGGAGAAAATAAGGTACTTACAGAGGAGACAGAAACCTAAAGCATTTAATAACTGGACACTGTTTTGTTTTGCTGTAGATGGAAATATTTTTTATTTAATAAAATACAATTAAAAACAGAAAAACATCATGACCAAGTAGACAATTTGTGTTGCTTTCAGAAATTATTTGAGAGCAAAAGTGTGATTTACTTGGAGAAGTTTGGCAGAGCAGAGGAGAAAACAAAGTTTAAGGGGACTATTCCCCTCCACTGGTGGCTAAGAGCTCCTTGTTTCTGGTCTCAGCATCCCTCAGTGTCCTGCCATCTTTTCTCTCCCTCCAGCTATGTGGGACTCAAGATCCTTGTCTCACACTTTGGAACAGGACTCTGAGTTTTCCCCAGTGTGCAGGAATTCCAAGCAGCCCTGCGAAGTGTGTATGGAGCTGTTGCAGAGGAGATTGCTCCTGAAATACTGACCTGTCTTGTGCTGAGGCAGGACAGCTGCTTATCATCTCATCCACAGTCCATTTGTACTTAGAAAACATAGTTGCTGGCTTTGGAGTAAGAGGTGAGGACACGCCTTCCCTTGCAAATACTGTTGCATACCATTTAATGATGGTAAGAAGCAAGGATGCCTTGTATCTTCTCTGAAAAACAGCAGCTCTGCCATCAGCCCGAGGAAATGTGTCTCAGTAAAGACTGAGAAGGAAAATAGCCACCCAAATCATCCCCTCAGTGACTAAATTGGTTTTCATTGTGAGTTTCTCAGAGAAATAGGGATCAGGCCTAAAGGTGGTTGCCTATGGTACCTGACAAAGACGTTGCTGCTGCTGTGTGCTCATTACTTAGTCTAGTAATAAGCATGCATAGTATGTTTATGACATACATATATACATGTAGGCCCTAAAAGTCAAAGCTCTTTAAGCACCCACGTTCCACTTACTGGTGGTTTCGTTTTCCTGCATATGCAGCTTTGGAGCATCACTAACTCAGCAGCTGGGTGTCCTGGTTTTGTT